ATTACTTACTGAGCAGGAATTCAAACCCTGTTCTCCAGAGTGATAGTCCAATGCTCAAACCACTATGCCACGTCAGCTCTAAACCACTATATTTCTATATAGCCAAGAAGTAATGCCACAAGCAACATTTGGGCCAAAGGGTAACTCGGCCACTTCGGAGCCATTTCCTGCCAACCCAGTTCAGTTTGCTGGGCTTGTTGCTCCTCTGTTCACTTGCCCCTCTCTCTTCCCGGGAGCATGAGTTAGTGTTAACCGATTGACCATTGATTATTTAATGGCCATGTCAATTGTCCCAACTCTCTTTCGACTGAGCAGAAGGGGATGGGATATAGAGGCATCTTTATTGCAAAGGGAAGCTTTGGAAGGCGCTCATTGCCATTCCTGCTTCATGCAAAATGCTTTGTCTGTCCAATTTCCCAAGAACTGTGTGTGTCTGTGACTTCAAGTCACCTGTCGATTTATGGCAACCCCATGAATGTCTTAGGGAGTTCTTAGGCATTATCTGGGACCAAAATAGCTTTACGGATTCAGGAATATCTTCTTTTCCGGGGGTTACATTCCTAATCACAGCATACATTCAAAACCACTGCTTTTAATCAGAGTCAATGCCCCTGTTTGCTATAAACATTCGTTTTAAATCCTGGATAGAGCATAGGTAAAAGTAGACATAAAGTAAATTCTGTATTCCCGTATTTCCTCACAGATATATGCCTCAGTGATCAGACTTGCAAAGTCAGCCTGTGTTTACATTCCAGGGAACAACGGCAAAATAAATCATGCTAAATGCAAGATACAGAGGTGAGAACAATCATGTAGTATGACAGACAGATGTTTGCCCCCAAGTGAGGAAGCAGCTTTGGAATTAAAATGCTGTCCTTGTAGTCCAGTCTGGCCATGAGCAATTTCCAAATGGCTAGCTGAAAGATGGCTGTCTTTTTGGGATGGAGCAGGTAGGGAATGAGGATTCAGGTTAACCAGCTGGGACAAGGAATGTAACTGGGAAGTCAGTATGATGGACTTTAATTGTCATCAGTATTAAAGGCTGTAGTGTTTGTTGCCATATTTCAATAGCCAGCTAGGAAAATGCCATGTGTGAAGCGGTGCGCTCTCTCCATGTGTAATGTTTTAGCAGTTTTAATCCTGTCTTTAATAATGTTGACGTTTAAGTCCCTTTGTAAATTAATGTTTTAGCTGGATCTTTTAAAAATTATTGTAAGCCGCATTTTGAAGCGAAGGTAGGATATAAGTGCAATGAATAAATAAATAGGCATGTTGCATTCCAGAAGAAAGATTGTGAGTTCAAATCTAGCCCTCACAAGATGGGACTTGGAAGTTTCTGGAGTGGTTCTCACTGCACAATTTCTTTCCCTTTTTTCTCTTCCAAGCTGGAGTCGCCGTTGGCTCCACCACCCAGACCTGCGGTTCCATTGCTATGTCCCTGCCAGGAAGCCGAAGACCCTCGACGGGATCCCGAAGGTAAATAAGATTGCGTTCTCCCCACGGCCTTTCTGTCCACTCACAGCAAAGGCCCTTCCGCACCCGCAGCCTTGCCGCCTTGCACTCCGCAAAGGCCTTGCTTGTGTCGCATTGTGCAAAAAGAGCAAGGGAGCTATGCACCAGCCACAATGCAATAGGAGGTTATGTCTCTTTCCATGCACCTCAGGGTTAAGCGCAAAGTCAGTCCTCTACAGTGCCTTTTGGGGAACCATAGACACCTGCTACCCTTCAAGAAAAGGAGGGGAGAGTGATTTCTTATGGCTTCCGCAAAGTTGCATGTCTGCTGCTAACACTCCAGCACATGTCTATTTCTTGTGCATGTACAAGCAACTCACTCAAACCTCCATCGCAGTGACTGCTGCAGCTGGAATTCACACTTCTGTTATGCACCATCAAAGGCAGATGTTTGGGGCAGGAAGGAGCTGAACACCAGGGACTTCTATAAAGCCTTGAGGTTTTCAGGGAGCTTGCTATTTCCCTTATTGGTTTTCCCCAGGGCAGTGTTTCACCATGTCCAAGCCATACAGAGACTGATGATTATAGGGAGCGTATAATTCCCCTGTTGAAACAGCTTCACTTGCTACTGCTCCGTTTCTAGACACAGTTCAGAAGTGCTGGTTATGATTTCTAAAGCCCTGCATGGCTTAGGCTCATATAGCTTACAGTACACAGATAGGATACAGGAGAAATTCAACCTTGCTGGACATACAAATATCTGATGTAAAAATAGCAGTTCTAAAAAATAATAATAATCAGAGGAAGATTGGATAGAGAAACAGGTGAACTGGGACATATGGGTACATGATTTACAATACACAAATAAGAGACAAGAGAAATTCAGCCTTGCTGGACATATAATCTATGATGATGA